TCACCTTTCTCCCTCCATCCCTCTTTGCACTATGGAAGCCAATGTTTTCCGTAAGTGTGAATGTAGACCTGAGAATACCAGGGGAGGAATTATCCAGAATGAAGGGAAAAAAGATGAAGAGGGTCTTCATGTTAAAAATAGAATTTATAATCACTTCTATAATACTTACCTATGTTGCAGGAAAATGGAGAAAAGATGAAGATGGTTAGGCAATTAGTACTATCTCAAGCTTTTATCATTTAGGCATCTTCAAAGAAATTCAAGCATTTTGTGCAATTTTAGTTTAATATGTTCTCTCAGTAGTCATTAAAATACGTAAGCTGCTTGTACTGGAAATATCTTCCAAAAGGGAAAGGAAGAAAACAGGTTGGCAGTTTAAAAAGCCTACACCAAAATTCCACTGCACCCATTTGAGTTAGAATGAGATATAGCTCAGACCAATAACATCAAACTTGAATGGTGAGGGAGTTTGATAAAAAATAAAAATAAAAAATAAATTTAATGCAGCTGCTTGAATCCCACTGCAAGAGATTCTAATCAAATAGGTCAAGGGTGAGGTCCAGAGATGTGATTTTTAACATCTCCCAGATTTGATACAGGCAGACCAGAGACTTCATTTTGATAAACACTGTCTTAGCAGTGAAGAGCTCAGGCTGATATAGACCTGAGCTCAAATCTTAAATCCACTACTTTCTAGCTTTGTGAATTTGAGCAACTTAAAAAAAAAAAATAGAAAGAAAAAAGAAAAAAAAATATTTATTTGCTGTAATTTTCAAGACACCAGGTCTTGAACCACAGTCAGCCATGTGGGAATCCAGCACTCTAACCACCACACCACCTGCTACCTGATGTCTCTAAATGTGGGCAACTTTTAACTTCTGTGATTCCTCAGTTTTCAGATCTGGAAACTGGAAATAGAATTAATATATGATCCAAAGGTTTTTGTGAGAATTAAGTAAAATATGCAGAAGAATGTTTGGCACGGTATCTGGCACACAGGGAGAAATGCTCAGTATACAGGGGGCCCAGACAGTGGCACAGCGGTAACTCAACACTCTGATACTAGACCCACCTGGAAGGTTCCCGGGCTTGCATCCCAGGGCCTCCCTCTGCACACTGGGAACGAGCACATGTGCCCGCGATCCAGGCTGGCCAAGGCTGGGAATGGATCCCTGTATGAGGGCAGCTGTCTATCTTTATCTCTCTTCTATCTTTGAAGAAATAAATTGGAATAGACTTTAACATTTTTAAATAGATGTTAGCTATTGATACTATCCTTATTATGCAAAGCCAAAAAGACTTGGTATCTTTGTTTTTCATTTTTCTTTACTTTCTTTTTCTCTTCATTTCATAAATCAAAAACAAAAACAAACAAACAAACATAAATAAATAAATAAATAAAATAAAACAAGGCATTAAGCTACATGGAAGTTTCCTTGGTTTTCCATCTTAAGTCTGGAAATGAAATAGACCAGGATGGGCATAGCAGCCCCTTCATTGCCTTTGCAGGTGTGGCCCTCTTCCTCATTATTTAGATGGCAGCTAAAGTTTAAGGAACCACATCTGTGTCCCACAAAGCAGGGTGGAGGAAAGGACAAAGAAAATCTATCTCCTTCAGAAAGGACACTGCCTCAAGGTGGCCAGAACTCAATTGCCAGGGAGGCTAGAAAATGTGACCAGTATTCCAGATAAGTCATGAACCCAGAAAAATGTGGTTTTTATTACAGTGAAAAATTGGAGAGGACAATTACGGAGGGACAACTATTGTTCCCTGATGTACCTGACGTTATAAATCTAGCATATGTGGGTCCTTTCTCAGAAATCCTCTATTCTCATCTTCTCTACCTGCTTATTTCTCAGGTAAGAAACATCTTCTCCCCAAAAGGTGGTTACATGGTTTGCTTGTCCTACTCAACTTATTTTCTTTCTAAATTCCACCTGTACCTTTCACTCCTCATACCCCAGTTTCATTCACTGTCTTTCTTTTTGGAGAGGTTTTTGCTATGGGGCACATGTGCTCGCCAAAAAGACAAAGAGAGACAGACAGAAAGCGAGAAACCACCCCACCCCACCCCGGGGCGATGGCCACACTGCAATTCCTTCTCCTCCAGTCTCCTCTCGGGATCTCAGGCATGCATGCACATGCACCCAACATGAGTTTAAGCCGCCGTGTCCGGGACTCCAACCATGGTCAACTACATGGGGTCCAGCAACATAGCCATTACTCCAACTGCTGGTCCCTCGTTGTCTTTTTTACTATCCAATTTTAATAAGCAATATAATTATTTCACTGTAGAAAAAATAGAAAATACAGCTAAGCACTTAGGGAAAACGTTTAATATTTGAAAATCTCACCACTTAGAAATAACCACTTTTAAAGTGCTGTGTACAGCTATCTAGCATTTTCCCCAGGTAAAAATATACATATGTATTTATAACAAAAACCTAGTCTACGTAACCATTTTAACCTCCTCTGTATGTTACAAGTAATACTCAGGGTTATTAATTATAGATCAACATCAGCAATTTTAATGACTGCAGTTTTTTCTTGCTGGGATGTATCATAATTTATTAACCAATTTCCTATTTATATCCACAACATTGAATTAAATTCCCAAGTACATATGTCTTTGCTAACTTGCCTACCAGCTTTCCAAGGATGAGCTGTGTTCCCTTTGCTTTCTAACCTGGAGCTTTCCTTACTATAGTCTGGGACCTGCAGAAAAGCACAGCTCCACTGTCCTACCAGCAAAGTGAAGTTAGGTCTTGGCTCCACCCCTAAGATGCTTGGATCCCCTTTTCAAATGAATATTGCAGACTCAGAGATCCTTGAAGACCTGAATTAATTCCTCCCTACTCCCCATTATGAATCTCAGCACTGCTGTAGGCAAGAGTGGTACACCACTCTGCTGCTCAGAAAAGCACAAAATAAAGTCCAGTCCCAGGACTTTCTACTAAACCGAAGCGGTTAGAAGTTTCGGTGTGCAAAGCTGACTTTGAGCAAGACCAGAGTCAGGCCATTTGTGGGTGGAGAAACCAGTTTTAATTAGAAAAGAAAAAAATGCATTTGACTTAAGTAATTATTTATACATACAAATGATTTGACGAATGACTCCTGAGCTGATTTTTTTAAACTGATGAATGATTTCTGACTGTTTCTTTGTCTCAGTTGAGCTTCCTAATGAGTCAAACACTCGTGAGGTTTACATTTTCTGGAGAGGGCTGAAGACAAATTATGTTGCATCACTGTCGTGTAGCACTTTCTATTTTCAGGTGGCCTTTACCTTGTTTTCTTCTCATCAACACTGAGGAGAAGGTAGAACTGATATCACTAGCCCTCCATTATAAATAATGACAATAAAGGATGCCATTTATTCCACATAGACCGTATGCTGGGCAAGATGCTCAATGCAATTTGAATACTACTTATTCCTCACCACAACCCTAATGAAATATGCGTTCCATTAATACTTCATTTTATTAATAAATAATGTTGAAGGAGGAATAGATAACTTGACCATGGTCACTCAATACAAAACCCGTTTTCAGACTAGAAAAAGTTACTGACACACTGACGTTCACATAGTTATGGGGTCAAGTCCAAAACCCTCTCCCAGGCATAGTGGTTAAGAACAAGGGCTCTATGGGCCAGCAGGTGTCGTGGTAGTTGAGGCACTGGACTCCCACATGGCTGACTGTGGTTTGAGTGCCGGACCCAGCAGCTTGCTATCTCATTCTCTCTCTGTCTCTCCCTGTCTCTCTCTATCTCTCTCACTCTCTCTCTCTGTGACTCTCTCTCTGATCAAATCAAAAATAATAATAATGAATAAAATTGAATAAATTATATTTTTTTAAAAAGAACAAGGGCTCTAGAATCAGGTGGCCTAGGTTATGATCACAATCTGCCATTACCCAGCTGCGTCACTTCAAGTAAGTTGCTAAACTACTCTGTGCCTCAGTCCTATACTTACAAATGGGGACAAGTGTTCATATTGAAGGGCTACTGATGTACATTCCACAAGACAATTCACTCACACCCTTTCCACACAGGAAGTCCTCAACTAAATATTAACATTATACCCCTGTCCCTCCAGCCTCAAAGGTAACTAGAGTTGACATTGGAACAACATGGACGTCAGGAGTACAGATCTCTCATGTGGTTGCCAGCAGTTGTCGTGGTAGTTGAGGCACTGGACTCCCACATGGCTGACTGTGGTTTGAGTGCCGGACCCAGCAGCTTGCTATCTCATTCTCTCTCTGTCTCTCCCTGTCTCTCTCTATCTCTCTCACTCTCTCTCTCTGTGACTCTCTCTCTGATCAAATCAAAAATAATAATAATGAATAAAATTGAATAAATTATATTTTTTTAAAAAGAACAAGGGCTCTAGAATCAGGTGGCCTAGGTTATGATCACAATCTGCCATTACCCAGCTGCGTCACTTCAAGTAAGTTGCTAAACTACTCTGTGCCTCAGTCCTATACTTACAAATGGGGACAAGTGTTCATATTGAAGGGCTACTGATGTACATTCCACAAGACAATTCACTCACACCCTTTCCACACAGGAAGTCCTCAACTAAATATTAACATTATACCCCTGTCCCTCCAGCCTCAAAGGTAACTAGAGTTGACATTGGAACAACATGGACGTCAGGAGTACAGATCTCTCATGTGGTTAAAAATCTACAGATAACTTTGACTCTTGAAAAATTTAACTACCATAGCCTACTCTTGACTGGAAGTCCTCCCGATAACATAAACCCATATTCTATATGTTACATGTATTCTTACAATATACTCTACTCTTGCAATAAAATAAGCTAGAAAAAAGATAATATATTATTAAGAAGATCATAGGAAGAGAAAACACCCTTCTATTGCTGCCTTGTATTTTCCAATACATTTATTGAAAAATACTCCATATAAGCAGCCCTGTGCAGTTCGAACTTGTGTTGTTCAAGGGTCTAGTGTCCATCCTTTATTGTTCTGTGCCCTTGCAGGTGCCTCGAGCAAAGGCCTTATGCAACTACAGAGGGCAGAGTCCTGGCGACCTGAGGTTTAATAAAGGAGACGTCATCCTCCTCCGGAGACAGCTTGATGAGAACTGGTACCAAGGGGAGATCAATGGAGTCAGTGGGGTCTTCCCAGCCAGCTCCGTGGAAGTCATCAAGCAGCTGCCTCAGCCACCCCCCCTCTGCAGGGCCCTCTACAACTTTGACCTGCGAGACAAGGACAAGAGTGAGAACCAGGATTGCCTGACCTTCCTTAAGGTAAGATTCGGGGAGGCCACCAAAATCTCTGGGGACCACTTAAGGCTGTAGCAGAACCTGAAGTTGTTTGTTTAATATTTGCTGATTTTTTTAATTATATGTATTTTTTGCATAAATGTATATATGTATGTATGTGTGTGTGTGCACATATATGTATATAATTCAAACTACATGGAAATGAAATCTCTAGAGAAATCTACTTATAAGAGTTAGATAGAAATTATTTCTTTGATGTCTTTTAGAATTATTTTATTTTATTTATTATTATTATTATCATTCAATTTGACCAGAGAGAAGCAGAGAGAGAAAGGAAAAGTGAGAAAGCAAGCAGCCAGGTCCAGGACTTGAACAGCAGTCAGTCATGTGCAAGTCCAGTGCTCCAACCACCACGCCATGTGCCAGTCCCTAATTCTTCAATTTTGTTTTAAATTTGTATTGTCAGAGGGCATATGCACTCATGAAGAAGAGAGAAAGAAAGTACCTCTCAGTGGAATGTGGTCACACCTCAATTTAACTTTCCTCTATTTCTCTATCCCATTAGTATTTGAGGCATACATACACACACAAGCCCAGCATGTTTTTCAAGCCTCTGGAGTCAGAATTTGAACTGCAGTTGGCCATGTGAGATCCAGCTCCCTGTGCACAGCGTTTAAACACTACATATGGGAGGCCAGCCCTTACGAAAAGTCTTAAGCCTTTTCTCTTGAAATGACAAAAATAAACATTCACACATTCATTTATACATTCATCTGTTCACCTACAATCATTTTTCAGCACTGTTCTTTGCAAGCACTAGGGAGAGAGAATAAACAACTCATGTCCCTGCTCTCCTGGCAGAGTAATGGGATAAACAGATATGTGGGCAGAAAAATACAGCCAAAATTTGATAAGTGCTATGCAAAACTCCTACATTTTATTATGTATCTGTGAAGGTGCTCTTGCTGACCAAATTGTGGTCACTTTTTTCTACTCACAATATCTATTTTGTTGTAAACAACATTCAAAATACCACAAACGCACACAGTAACATCACACCTTTATACCCAAATAGTCTCTTACAAGCCATATTTTCCATGCACACTAATTACCCTAAGTTTTTTTTGCCCTTTTTCATTGAATAATCCTTCACCATTTTCAAATAACAAGTCTATGAAAGTCTAGACCACTTTACCTTCTTGAATGAAGCACCTATTATTCCTTAAACATTCAAATTTTCTCATAGAACCAAAGTTGGCTCATAGACCCAAATATAAATACATGACCTGGCCTTAAAACAGTAGCTCAGAAAAGGTCTTTTGTAAAATACGTTTCTTTCACCAATACCGTACACGAGGTTTACTTCAGGTTCTCTCAAACTAGATAAACTCTCTGTTCTCCATATTTTTAAATCATGATCTTCATTATTATCTTGACACCTCAAAGTGAGACTCCTAAAGAGGTCATTCTATCGCCTGATCTGCAAAGTCTATATTTGGACTACAATTGGAGGAAAGTCAGTTCAGGTCCACAGATATTTACTGAGTGCTTATTTTGTGCCAAGCATTGAACATGGAGCTCTGAGGACACAGCTGGAGGAAGACATGAATAGGAAGCATTATCTGGAAATTTGCAAACTTGAACACTTACTCTACAGGCTCATTCATTCCATAAGCTCATCCATGTGCCAAGATGGCCACTGGGGACAATGTGAGGTCATTGTCCCTACCGTCACAGAGCTGAGAGTCTAGCAGAAGAAGCAGACACATAAGTGATAAATTATGAAAAAGAAACCAGAAGAGAGGGTTCGATCCATTCTGGAAGGCTGTAGAGTGCTGAGACTTCCCTAGGAAGTCTAAATCTCATGGTCTTTCTAGACTCAGCATGTCTAAAATAAACTCAGGATCTCCCTTCTGAAAACTGGTTATTTTCCCCAGGGCTTTCTATCACAGTAAATTGTACAATTTATTCACACACTTATGTATTCATTCATGAGTGTATGTATTCAAGAAATATTTACTGGATGACTAGTAAAGATGAGTAGGTGTCAGGTGCTGGGGAGAACAGAGAGGATGACATGGACACAGGTGTGCACACATGGAGTTGATGGTTTGATGAGGTGAACAGACATAAAAAAATAATAACCTATATATTTGGAATTGCAAATTGTAGTAAGGACAGAGAAAGCTAAGGAAAGATACAATGCAGTAATGAATTTAGATTTGGACAAAATTCAATTTCTGAGGAGCATGGAATGAAAGGTCCGAGAGATGAGAAAGTCTTTAGTGGATTAATGAACAGGTTTAGACTGATGAGCATGCATGGACATGGAAAGGTGTTCCTCTTATGGTGGTAAGTAGAAATCCCTGTGAGACTTCATTTGTGTGAAGTACAAGAATAGGTAAACTGGGGCAACCACAGTGGCCCAGTAGCAACACAACACTTCGTGATGCTGAGTCCACATGGGAAGGTCCTGAGTTCACATCTTCAGGTCTCCTTGTGCACAGCAGGTGCACCTCCCATGCCCATGATCCTGGTTGACTTGGAGTCAGATCACATGGGACGACCTTACTGAAGTGCCTGTCTCTTCCCCTCTCTCATGGAAGGAAAGAAAACTCAAAAGAAGAACAAGTAAAATGAGTGTATTATGCTAGAAATCAGAATAGTGGTTGCCTCTTGACAGATGATGAGAAAGGACTCAAAGGGCCCAAAGGTGCTGAAAGGTTCTATATCTTGATCTGGATGGGGATTTCATGAATATTCAAGTGTGAAACTTCCTCACACTTTACACCTTAAGATGTATGCACTTTATTGTGTGCGTGAGTGGATGTTTATCCATATGTTTATATGTTATTGATAGAAAAAAACTGGAAGAATATGTGTTAACTACCCTGTTAACAGTGATTCTATCTATCTTATGGTACAATTTTTTCCCTGTTTCCTTATCAATATTTTCAAATGTTTCTAGAAATTTATATATAACTTTCCATTAACAGTTTTTGGGGACCAACAGTTGGTGTAATGGCTATGTCGCTGGACTCCCAGGTAGTTGACCATGGTTCGAGTCTCGGATCTGGTGGCTTAAACTCATGTCGGGTGTGTGTGCGTGCGTGCCCAAGATCCCTAGAGGAGATCGGAGGAGAAGGGATTGCGGTGTGGCCAGCCCCCCTGTGGGGTGATTTCTCGCTTTCTGTCTCTCTCTGTCTTTCTGGCAAGCGCACGTGCCCTATAGCAAAAACTTTTCAAAAAAAAAAAAGGTTTTGAAGACAAAGCTGCTTTATGTTTGATACACTAAAAATTGAATAGGTTCTAAAAGTCTTCAAATAGATAAAATGCATTCGTTGCTAAGCTAAAAGTAAATCTCTTTATGGCTTCCATCTTGATTTCTCTATCAGATTAAATGAAAAGCTTGGCTTCTGCAGGTGATTTAAAATTAGAAACAGATCCATGTTTTCCTACTGGATTCCACTGAACCTCCAAATTATTTCATCTCTTCTTGTGGCTTGCTGCCCTTTATGGAGAAAGTTCATTTTAGCAGGAAAATTTCCTAATTAAGTCATTAAGAGTTACATTCCTCGCACCTTACACCATCTGGGATTTTAAACTGATCTCCGTTAAAAATGCCTATCACCTGAAAACAGGGAGCAAATGGTGACCATGACATGTTCTCTTTCAGGATGACATCATCACTGTGCTCAGCCGAGTGGATGAGAACTGGGCAGAAGGCAAGTTGGGAGATAAAGTGGGCATCTTCCCTATCTTGTTTGTAGAGGTACGTGAGTATCAAGATCACCTGTGATTCAAACTTCCTCAGAAATATGCATGTGCCACAGCAGTGCCTGATAACAAGTCCTCTTTGATAGGAGGCTTATTTCAGAACTAAAGTCCCTAAAGAAAAAATGCCAGATAATAATACCCATTCTGACAAGCCAGAAAATGAGCCTTTTTGATACTGCTGATAGAATTGAAATGTAAATTGGTGAAGTCTCATATTCAAACTCAAATAAACTTAGATCAAAAACCTTCACAATATATACTTCTTTTGAGTCAGTAGTTGTATATCTGAGAGTTTACTGGAAGAAATTATTTAAACAAGAGAGGACCAGCAGGTGGCATGGTGGTTAAGGCGCTGGACAATCCCACATGGCTGGCCATGGTTCGAGTCCCAGACCTGGTTGCATGCTTTCTTACTTCCTTTCTCTCTGGTCAAACTAAAATAAATGAATGAATAAATAAAATTAAATAAATAATTTTTTTTAAAAAAAGAAAATATTTAAACAAGTATAAAAAGATAGAAATATATAATGTGCAAAAATGTTCACCATAGCATTCTATATCATGCTGGAAAAAAAATAGAAATAATTTAAAATGCCAACCATCAAGATTTAGTTCTAAAAAATTACAGTGATTTATAAAAAGTACCAATCAAAAATAATGTTGGAGAATAATATTTAACATCACAAAATATTTGATATTACAAAAAGATGTATGATTTATTGTTATGTTTAAAAAATATTTTAAGTCCAACTGTGGTAGCACATATTAAATGCTGCTCCTTAGTAAGCTGAGGCTACATGGGAGGCCTGGGTTTGATTCCTCACCTACCCTAAAAAGCTGAGTGTGGTGTTGTACACCTGTAGTCCCAGCTACTTGGAAGATTAAGGAAGGAAGATCCTGACATAAACAGATCATGTCTAAAACACCACACATGTGTACATGCACGTGCACAACATACACTAACTTGATGGGTATAGAGTTTCATATTGGCAAGATGAAAACGGTCTGGGGACCTGTTTCATAACAATGCAAATATATTTAACATTACTGGACTGTACACCTTAAATTTTTTTTTTAATTTTTAAAGGAAAAGATGGCACACAGGTAGCATCGCTATTTGGGTGGCTGGAAGCCACAAAGGAGGCTTACTTAGGTTCAGTCCTCAACCCAACCTGAAGACACTCTACATGGCTGCACATGCCCGTAATGCTAACTAGTTGTGAGGCTTCCTCTCTTCCTCTCGTTAAAAAAAAAAAGTTAAGATGACACATGTTATCTGTTTGTTACACAATAAAAAATAAATTGAAATCTATTAAACCAGCTTTCTAAATACATATGTATGGGACTAGCAGATGGTGTGGTGGTTGGGGCACCTGGACTCCCACATGTCCTACCATGGTTTGAGTCCTGGACCTGGTGGCTTACTTTCCTATTTTCCCTTTCTCTCTCTCTCTCTCTCTCTCTCTGTCTCTCTCTGGTCAAATTAAAAAGTAATAATAGCATAATAAAAATAAATAATTCTAAATATATATGTGTGTGTATATATATAGATAGAGAGAGAGAGAGAGATAGATATAAATAAAGGACTAGGAAGATATATACCAAAATACTAACAGTAGCGATCACTAGATAGTAAGATTCTAGATGTGTTTTTCATTTTCTTCTGCCATCCTGTATTTTCTAAATCAAATAAGCATATATTTATTACTTCTGGGGTTTTTTAATCTACTTTTTAAAAAGAAAGAAAATGTGCTATTATCTACCTATTTCTCCAGTATAACAATATAATCTGTCATCTCTAACCTTGTTAGCCATGAAACTCACCCTAGCTTGGAGCAAGTCATTACAAATTTAAAAGAGAGCTTTTAAATTGTTTAACAGCATTTACTGGATGCTTACTATGCATAAAGCATTAAAAATGAGTAGTGGAGAACTATGAAAAAAGTAAAAGCCATGCTCTCCACCCTCAAGGAGAGCAGAGTGGAAACAGAATAGAGGCATAATTGAAGGACCAGTTCTTCCATTCATGAGCACCAAAGCAGAGTCTGGAATGAACAGTGTATCCAGAGTATTGTCCAGCTTTGAAAGTTCCCCACGCTCCTTCCACACAATCAGTGTTGAAGGGATGAGCAACTACAGGGAGAGAGGGGGAGGGAGAAAAGTTCTGAGGAGGCTGGTCTTTTTAGGGTCTCTACTGAATGATAGTACTCATTTCTAGTACTTTTTCCTCTTGTTGAGATCCCTTCCAGGTATACCCACCCAATTCCCTCTACTTGTTCAAAAGCTCAGATTGACACTCTATTTTTAATTAAAATTTCAACGACTGATTGGCCTCTCAGTGGTCTTGTTCTTCTCTGAGTACCTGACCAGTGTGTTGGTTGTACTTCACAGGCTTAGTCTAACACAACAAGGACTGCATTTGGAAAAAAAAAAAAATTAGCTTAACATATGAATAAATGAATGAAAACACAGAACAAGGACTGCATTTTTTTAAAAAAATAATTATCTTAACACATGAATCAATGAATGAAAACTATTTGGAAAATGGTCAAAATTACCACCGGGGAACCAGCAGTTAGCATAATGGCTATGTCGCTGGACTCCCACGTAGTCGACCACGGTTCGCGTCCCGGACCCGGTGGCTTAAACTCATGCCAGGCGCGTGTGCGTGCGTGCCCAAGATCCCAAAAGGAGAATGGAGGAGGAGGGATTGCGGCATGGCCATCCCCCCTGGGGGGGTGATTTCTCGCTTTCTGTCTCTCTGTCTCTCTCTGTCTGGCGAGCGCACGTGCCTTATAGCGAAAAAAAAATGTAAAAAAAAAAAAATTACCACCAAAAAGAGAGAGAGAGAGCACAAACCATTCAGTGTGACTTTGTTCTAAACATATATTCAATCATTCAATGAATTTTTTATTTAGTACCTGCTGTGTTGAGCTATAAAGTTATAAAGACACAAGACAGATAGGGGTCCCTACTCTGAGAGATTGTAAAGCCAGACATTATTCAAGTAATTATTAGGGTTGTCAGAAAAGTCATGACATTTTTTTTTTCTGTTTTTCTATGCAAAAATGTGTCATGACTTTTCTGACAACCCAATACAAATAGGACGAATGATGCAAAGAGTGAACTGAAGAGAGGTGTTACAGGGTCATGATATGCAACGTACATGAATGGGGAGGATCCATAAATGTCATTTATGCCGTGACCTGACAGATGGTTAAAGTTAAATAGTTAGGTTTGGAGGGAAGAGCATTTTAGGGAATGGAGATAGCATGTACAAAAGTCCTATATGATGAAGAAGTATGTACTATCCCAGGGAGCAAAAGAATACCAGGGCTAGAGGTTAGAGAATAAGAAAGGAACCAAGAACAAAGCTGGACAAGGGAATGGAAGACATATCGCAGAGGACCGTATGGTCAGGATAGACTGGTTATCCTGTAATAAACAGCACTAAAGTCTCAGTGGCTTCACAAGGAAAATCTTTTTTCTCACCCATTTCATAAGTTCAACACAGGATGGTGAGAGGGTTTGTACACAGTCTCTCAGGAACCCAGATAATGAGGCTGGGCCATCTTGTTGCTGCACCATCTGGTACAGGTGGACTTTTTGATTTCTGTGGTAGAGGAAGAGTGAAGAGCGAGTTGTGTATCAATAATTAAACACTTGACCTCAGAAGTGAAATGTACCACTCTCATTCACAGCCATCGCCCTGAGTCAGTCACATGACCCACCTGACTTCGAGTCAGCTGAGAAGTATAGAGAAGTTCCCCATGTGTGAGGGACACATGGAATGTTTAGGGAACATCATTGCCTCTGCCGTATCATAACAAGTTCAGATTTGACCCAAAGGTCAGCAAAAGCCATGGAAAGGTATGAGAGAGGCAGTGACCCAATGAGATTTGGGTTTCTCAAAGACTGCTCTGCCTAGGTCAGGGTGGAGCCATTTGCTGGGTCAAGCAACATTTGCTCAAGACCAATTCTGCTGATTGGAAGACAATGGTTAGCTCTCCAAGGACAGAGACAAGCTGCAATTATTACTTAGCTAGACACATAGAAGGTGCTTAAATTTTTGCATAATCTCCTGTATTATTTTGAAATGCTTCTTCATAACGCTGGAAGGAAAAAGCACCACTCATTTTATTACCCATTTATGAAACACTTTTTCCCAAGATTTCTTCATTTTATTATTATTCATTTAGATTCTCTCCCTACCACTTCACCTCTAAAATTGGTGATTACAAGAATCCTCAAGATTATCATCGAACTAGCCATGGCTTCATTTGTTCTCCTAATTGCTAGGAAGGGGAAAAGATAATCAAGTAGTTTCTCTAATCTGGGAACCTGGTTTTCAAAAATTACTCGAAATCTAAATTGAGCTTTTTAAAGCAGTACTTAAATTTTGACTCCAGTCATTTCATTAAGACCAGCACTTGCTGAGAACTCTTTAAATAAGCTTTGAATTACCAGTGCCATACAAAGCAATTGGAAGGAAAGAAGGCTCCTTACCAGAGTGGTGTGCTTTTTTAGGCATAAACAGGTTTTTCTTGTTAACATACCATTTGATTTATTGGATCACACCTGCATACAAAGGAGCTAAAGCAGACACTAAACTTAGCTCACTCTTGGGTCAGGACTTTTCCAGTGGGGGCCTACCTGGATTTTACCAGCTCAGTGAACCTCAAGGATATTCTCGAAATGAGTTGGTGCAAGTCTGAGAGACCTGCAGTCCTTCCTCAGCTGAGCTATTCATCACGTTGACAGAGGACTGACCAGCTGCATAATCTCATGGTGCCCTTTGTCAATATTACTAAAAGAGAAGTTGATGTTGGGTCAGTTACTTAACACAGAGGTTAGCACTGCTCAGAAGAAGCCAAATTCCACGTGGCTTATAAGTGTTCAAGTCCTGGCCCCAACAGCTTGTAAAACACACTGGGTACGCACACATGTGCCCATGATCCAGACAGGAAGGAATGTTGGAGGAAAAAGCAGTGCAGCCATGACCAGTACCTGTTGGGAGGGGGGCTTTCTCTCTCCCTTCCTCAGTGCCCACTCCAGTATTTAAGAAAGAAAAAAGAAAGAAAGGAAAAGAAAAAGAAAGAGAAAGAAAAAAGAGAGAAGGAAGAAAGAAGTTGATGGTGGACATAATTATTCTAGGGAGAGAACAATTATGTCTAAACAGAAAAAGTTAACCATTTCACGAGAGCTGTGAATGGCCATAAAGAACCGTACTTATTCAAGTAGTGTGCATTGTCCTCTTACTGGATGGAAAATGGAGAAATGAGTGCTCCAGAGAACAGACGGCATTGTTCCTAGTCCAGGCTACGTTGGAGCTCACCTAAACAATGTCAATGACGTCCTCATTGATCTCCCTACTTCTATCCTGGAACATCTGAATAAGAGCCAAAATAAGCTTTTGATTTTTTGTTTACATTTACTCTACTACAGTAAAGTTTACTCTTTTTGGTGCCCAGTTCTAAGTGTTGACAAATGCATACAATTGTTTAACCACACTACAATCAAGATACAGAATAATCCTAACACCTCCACCCCCAACAACAACAAAAAATTCCTCATGCTACACCTTTTTCCCTGATTCCCATCCTCTGGCAAACGCTGCTCTGTTTTCTGCTCTGATACATTTCATACTCCATAATGCCAAATGAATGGAAGTATACAGAATGTAGTGGTGTTCGTCTGGCTTCTTTCATTTCACATAATGCGTTGAGATTCATCCATGTTGTTTGGGTAGCATGAGTTCTTTTTTTTTTTTTTTTTTTTTTTTTCTTACGAGTGTTTGCTAAGTAGTGTTCCATTGCATGGATGTACCAGAGTTTGTTTATTCATTCTGCAGATAAAGACATTGGGTTTGTATCCAGTTCTTGACAAGTAAGAATACAGATGCTATAAACTTTTGAATACTGGTTTTGGGATGAGCCTACTGTATCATTCTCTTGGGTAATTACTCAGGAGTGGGATTACTGGGTCAGATGCTAAGTGTGTGTTTAACTTTGTAGGAAACTGCCTACCTGTAGCATGAGCATTTGAAAGCATAAATCAGATCATGTCACCTCTGCCTCAATCTTGCCCAAGGCTTGAAGCTCCCCAGGACCCCATGATTGGGCCACTGCCTGCCTCTGTGGCCTCCTCTTTTATCACCTTTGCTTTACTTCTCTGATCCAGACTTCTGTAACTTTCTTCTGTCCCTTTCTCAGGCTCCTTCCCTCTTTAGGGCTTTCCATTAGCTTATACCTCCCCCTCTCCACACCTGGCATGTTCTTACCTCCATGTTCATGTGGCTAGCTCTTTTTTGTCTGTTGTCTCAGCTTAAATGTCACTTTCTCAGTGGTCTTTTTTTTTTTTTTTTTTTTGAGAGATTTTCACTGTAGGGCGCGTGCGCTCGCCAGACAGACAGAGAGAGACATAGAGACAGAAAGCGAGAAATCACCCCCCAGGGGGGATGGTCACGCCGCAATCCCTTCTTCTCCATTCTCCTCTCGGGATCTTGGGCATGCACGCACACGCGCCCGGCGTGAGTTTTTTAAGCCACCGGGTCCGGGACACGAACCGCGGTCGACTACGTGGGAGTCCAGCGACATAGCCATTACGCTAACTGCTGGTTCCCCTCAGTGGTCTTTTTTGATCACCCCCCCTAACCAATCTAAAGTAGCTGCCACCCCCAATTGCTCTCTGTCACATCAGAACACTTGTTACAATCTGATATTTCTTTTTTAGTTGTTTATAAGCTCACTCTGTCATTTGTCACCCCTGCTAAATTTCAACTTTCTCATTTTTAAAGTAGACATAATAGTGTCCACTCCCCTACTTAGTTTTAGGTTTTTGTTTTTGTTTTTGTTTTTTCCACAATAGTAAAAGTTTCTTGATGCACAAACTACATCATCTTTAAAATTCTTTGTCTTGGGGCCAGCAGGTGGTGTAGTGGTTAAGGCACTGGACTCCCACATGGTTCAAGTCCCAGACCTGGCAGCTTGCTTTCTCATTTTCTTTCTCTCTCTCTCTCTCTCTCTCTCTCTCTCTCTGTGTGTGTGTGTGTGTGTGTGTGTGTGTGTGTGTGTGTGTTGCTCTGGTCAAATTAAAAATAACAATAATGATGAATAAAATAAAGAAAATAATATTTTTTAAATGATGCATGAATTTCAAAATCTTTTTGCACCAGAACAGAATCACACTTTAATTCCATTTTTTCATGAACTTCTTGAAATCCCCTTATATACCAGGAAAGCAGATCATAACACCGTGCTGTGCTAGAGTTAGCTGGTACTAGATCACAAGAGCTGGTTGTTACATTTCAGAACTTTGCTAGCTAGTTGTTAAACCACTGGTATGTTTGTAAACTCAATAAACCAAGGCTTTTCTATTTTTATTTTTAAAGTTGATTTTTTTTTGAAGTTGATTTATCAGCTGACTAAAAGGTATAGAATAAAAGTTTCTAGTGATGGTCATCTGAACCACTTACTAAGGGACTGGCATCCGACTTGGCTTCAGACTAGCCTGGGTAGGACTTAGCTACTCACATGGGATCAGGAAGACTAACTTCTTATTGGACCTTTTGTCTTTTCAGCCAAACCTCACTGCAAGACACCTCTTGGAGAAGAACAAAGGCCGGCAGTCATCCCACTCAAAAAGCCTGTCCTTGGTGCCCTCACCCTCCAGAGGCAAAGCAACCAATATACCCACCCTCCGTAGGGGCCCAGGGTCCAGGAGGAAGGCGCCCGGGCAGTTCTCCATCACAACGGCTCTGAACACTCTCAACCGGATGGTCCATTCTCCTTCAGGGCGCCAGATGGTAGAAATCAGCACCCCAGTGCTTATCAGCTCCAGCAACCCCTCTGTGATCACCCAGCACATGGAGAAAGCAGACATCCCTCCCAGTTCTGCAGGGCAGGTAGGGAATAATCCCTGGGATGAAGGTATGGTGGAGTTGGACAAGGGATCTGCACCATGTCACAAAGAATAATTGATGTTCTGTGCTTGCTACACACCCATAATGTTTTCATAACTAATGTCCTATGTGTTACATATCAGAGCTGTATACACATGATCTCATTTCATTCTTGAACAGCCAGTGAGTTCCATGTTATTATTATTATTACTATCATCCCCATTATACAGATGAGGAAACTGAAGCTATAAGAATTAAGCAACTTGCCCAAATTCTCAGATACTTTTCTTCCCCATGCTATGTGCCATGACATGGTTCCTGTCCCTTAAAGAACTTCCCTCCAAAAAGACAATTGCATCTATTTTTCCAGACAAGTTTTTGGCATCACAGTGTGAGATTTACTGCCCTATCCTCTGGCAAGGCACTAGGCATCATATGAATAGAAACAAAAAGAAACTATGGGTTTAGAGTGTTCTCAGGACTGACTACACAATTTGTAAGACCCAGTGCAGAAATGAAAACACAAGTCACTTGCTCAAAAATGCTTAAAATTTTCAAGATCGTGGGCCAGCTCTTTGGCACAACGGTATTGCACTGCTCAAAGAGATGCTAGATCCCACATGGTGACCACAGTGCAAATCCCCAGTCCGGTCAGCCTGAAACACACCACGTATGCACAGGAGTGCCCAGGATCCAAAGTGCCCAGACACTGGAGAACCAAACGAAGGAGACTGCAGTGTGACCCTGTGGAGGGCTCTTCTCTCCCTCTTTTACTCCCTCTCCCTCTCTCTCTCTCTCTCTTTTTCATGTATACATATGCTAGCTATCACAAATAAAGAAAAAAGTAAAAAAAGAACTCCAAATTGACAGTAGCAGAGTATTAAACTAAACGAAGGGCCCTGTGTGACTACACAAATCACACACTCATGAGGCCAGCCCCGGGCTTTCATATGGCGCATCTAATAAGATAATGTATGTAAAGTGCTTAGCACAATGATGCTGGCACATACAAAGCCTTGGCTCTCCTCCCGTGATTATTACTAACCCTGGTCACTGACTTACCAACTGAAGGGAGATAAGCCAAGGAGCAGTTGCCGCAGTCCAGAAGCTGAAGTACTTCTAACAGCATGTGGCTGTTTAGGTTGAAGGGTACTTGAAAAGATGAAGGAGCAGAGGTATGAAGCAAAGTAATTAAGAAGAACTGCATGTTGGGGATTCAGCTAAAAACACTCTTTGGAACCATGCAGGTGGCAACTTGAAAGGACAAACCTCAACTTGCACGGATTCCTCCCGCCCCCCAGAAGCTGTAAATCTTGTTTTTAAACATGAATTTCTACCTTGGGATTAAATGGCTTAATTGGATCTAATCCCTTTTTAACAAGACAAGGAAGAAGGAGAAAGTCAAGGGCTCCTCAAAGACCTGTGTGCTGGTCTGAAAGGAAAACAACTGCTTCCTACAACACTTCATATCACATACCTCTCTCGGGATCTCTGGCAGGCTGGCTGCTCATGTAATTCTGCCCACCACCTACACTACACACACACACACACTCTCTCTCCTCCATAGACACTCTCCTTGCATTAAAAGGCATGCAACTTCCTACACTCACATTGCAAACACTTCTTTAGACGTACATTCC